TTGGGATTAAGTAAGTAGCTGGGTTTTATTCTATTATAGTTTAATATTCTGAGCTTTGCTCAAAAGGATTTGAGATAATGGGCTACTAAGCACACTAAAATACCAACGGACCTGTATCTGAAAAATATCTAGAAGGAAAAGTCTGCAACCATGAGGATCAGTATACATTTTCATGAATTCCAGCTCCTTAACAAGAGAAAAAAACATTTTTTAAAGCTAAAATAAAAATTACTAATTAAGAGAAAAGATAGAATGCTAATTCTTCAAGGAAGATAAGTTTATTAGAAGATAAAGATACAAAATGACAAATGATTAATGACAACATTAAAATGTCAAAAAAAAGTTGATTCCCTATTACACAGATGCCTATGCTGGGAGTTAATGCAACTCTTAGTACCGTGTGCTAACACGCTGCTGAGACTACTGTACACGTGTTGACTACTTATCAAAATATTAATGATCAAAACACTCAGGGGAAAATAGCAGATAAAAGAAAATGCTATGCTTTCCAAAACTACCTCCTCTATTGAAATACAAATGATACAGAAAAACAAGCGAGCCACCTGCCCTCTCCACGGCAGGAATGATGGTACTAACGACGCCGACTTTTCACTCTGCATAATGGCACCTTCGTGTCCCTCACTGTAGTTAAGGGGCTGATGGCACTGTGGGATAAGCACCGGGCTGGGAACCACAAGATAGGCATTTAGACCCACCAGGTGCTCCAAGGAGAAAGGTGATGCTTTCTGTCCCCCTGAAGGTGTACAGCCTCAGAAACCCTATATAAAGTCACGATGAGTCGGATTTCACTGCTTTGACGGAGTTTGGTTTTGGGTCTGGCCTGTTGTTGTTAGGTATAGTCACGTCACCTCGGACTCCCAGCGCCCCGGATCCAGTCCTGCACCACTTTCACAGTTGTTGTCAGGTTTGAGCCCACTGCTACAGTCACGGTGTCACCCCAGTTCGTTGACGCCCATCCTTTATTTCGCTGACCCTCCACTTTACCAGAGACTGATCCCTCCTAATAATATGTCCAAAGATCGTGAGACGAGACCTTCTCATCCTGGCTTCTATGGTGCTCCTTAGAACTCTGGCTGTATTTCTTCTAAGACAGATTTGTCCCTTCTGGTAGTCCACGGTACTTTGAATATTTTTCACCAACACCATAACTCAGATGCATCCATTCTCAGGTCTTTTATATTCACTGTGCTGATTTCACAGTCATATGACACAACTGAAAACACCCGGGATTAGGGCCAGTGCACCTTAGTCCTCAAACTGACATCTTTGCTCTGAAACACTTTCAAGAGGGCTTGTGCAGCAGATTGGCCCAAAGCCACACATCCTTTGATTTCCTGACTGCTGCTTCCATGAGCACTGACTGTTGATCCAAGTAAAATGAAATCCTTGACAACTTCAATCTTCTTCCACTTATCAGGATGTTATGTCAACTCAGTCATAAGAATTTCTGTTTTCTTTACCCTGAGTTGTGATCCATACTGAAGGCTACAGTCTGAGATTTTCATCAGTAAGTCTTTCAAGTTCTCGTCTCTTCCAGCACACAGGGCCGTGTGCCTACGTAGGTCAGGTTGTTGATGAGACGTCCTCCAATTCTGATGCCAAGTTCTTCTTCATAAAATCTACTATCTGAGATCATCTGCTCAGCATAGACTGAATGAGTATGGAGAACGAATACAACCCTGGTGCACACCTTTCCTGCTTTTAAACCATTCAGCAGCTCCTTGTTCTGTTCTAACAACTGTCTAATCAGGTTCCTTAGGGACACAATTACGGATTCCAGAATTCCCATTCTTTGCAAAGGTATCCATACTTTGCATAGTTAATAAGGCACAGGTGAACATCTTTGTGGTATTCTCTGCTTTCAGCCAAAATCCATCGGACATCAGCAATGATATCGCCCGCTCCATGCTCTGGTAGCTCCTCGTCAGGATACTCCTCTGGCTGTTTCTGAATGTTCATCAGCATTCTTCCCTTACAATCAGATAAGCACTTATAGACAGATGGTGTGGCACTGTAGGATAAACACTGGACTGCTAACTGCAAGGTAAGTGGTTCAAACCCACCAGCCGCTCCTCAGAAACCCTAACAGGGCTGCTGTGAGTCAGAACCGATTTGATGGCATTTAACAACAAACCTCGTGTTCTGGTCTCTAAGGAGGAGTAAGCACTGACAGCACCCTTCCCAAAATCTCATATGGTACAAAATGAGGCAGTGTTTTTAGACCACGGATTACGTTTCTGTGATCCCAGAAAGCAGGGAGGAAGTGAGGAGAGTCGCCTGACAGTGAACTCTATCACTAGGCAGCCTGGCTGTCTCAGACTCGAGGGGATGGAGATGTGGGGGAAGCTGAGATGATTGGAAGCTTGTAGAAAGAACTCTCAAACTCAGTAATAAGTGAATACGATGGTGCACACAGGGCGCAGTGATGAGAACATCTTAGATCTTATCGAACATCTGAGCTGAGACGATTGGAAGCTTGTAGAAAGAACTCTCAAACTCGGTAAGAAGTGAATACAGTGGTGCATACAGGGCTCAGAGTGATGAGAACACCTTAGATCATATCGAACATTTGAAGGCGATGCGTTGCTGGGCCTGGGAGCTCAGGCCCACAATCTCAGGGGACACCAGGGTCAATTAGCATAACGTAGTCCCCAAAGGGAATGTTCTATATTCTACCTGGGTGACTAGCGAATGGGATCTGAAAAGTTTCTAAGTGGCCATCTAAGGGGTAACTCTGGGTTTCTCAGGGTACAGAGGAAAGAAGAGTGATGAGAACTGAAGATGCTAGGTCAATGTCCACTGGAGCATGAGCACATCAGTCAACACGACTCTGAGATCAGAAGAACTAGATAGTGCCCAGCAACCACGGGTCTCTCAGGGTACAGAGGAAAAAAAGAGTGATAAGAACTGAAGATGCTAGGTCAATGTCCACTGGAGCATGAGCACATCAGTCAACACGACTCTGAGATCAGAAGAACTAGATAGTGCCCAGCAACCACACCCAAGTGTTCTGAAGGGGATCACATTAGAAGGTCCTGGACAGAGTGAAAGAAAATATGGAACAAAACTCAAAATTATTAAAAAAAAAAAAAAAAACAAATGCCAGGCCAGATTTACTGGACAGGAAGAGAGTGCAGGAACCGAGACCATGGTCCTCAGCCACCCTTCAAGTCCGGAACAGGACTCACCCCCATTGCCCACTTTTCCGCTAAGCAGTAGGAAAGGGATAGGGATCACAACAACACTATAGAGGTAAGCTCCCCACACAAGGGCCAATCATTCAAGGTTAAAAGAGCAACATTTCCCAAAGGACAAAGTGGGGAAAGCATGAGATGGAGGCTGGAATGGAGATCAGAACCACAGGGCTGAAGTGGGATCAACATTGTTACATGGAAGGGATTGCAATGACTGAGGTGAAACAAAGCATGGGATTTGTTGGATGTAAAACTCATGATTTTCTCTGTAAGCCTTCACCCAATTCACAGTAAAAAGTTTCAAAACAAAACAAAACAAAAAAAACAAAAAAAACTCAGTAATAAGAAAACAAACTACCCATTTAACAAAACACAATGGGCAAAAGATTGACCCCCACACTAAACCAGAGAAGACATGTGGATAGCTTCTAAGTGCATGAATAATGCTTAAAAGACAAATACTCTCAAAAGCAGGAGTGAAAGGAGAAACGTCACTACAAACCTAAGAGACATGTACAGATATCAGGGTGCACAAACTTATGCCAACAAATTAGACAACAGCTGCGTCTCAGAGAAAACAGGGATGAGGGTGGAAACAAGACGTTTCAGTGCTAGCTTCATGGAGAGAGAGCAATTCCTAAAACTGTAAATAAACTGAAACTGAGTTCATAACAAAGAAAAGAAAGATTTCAAGTGACTTTGGGACACAGTATTTTAGTTGGGGGTCGTTAATTGGGGGATGGAGGATTTAGGACTCCTGGTGTGGCGCTGTAGGATCAACACTGTACTGTGAACTGCACGGTCAGCAGTTCAAACCCATTAGATGCTCCTCGGAAACCCTATACAGGGTCGCTATGAGTTGGAACTGACTCCACAGCACTTAACAACAACAACAGTGGGGTTTAGTCTAGGTTAAAAAGAATTACAAGGAAATCTTGAGCTTTCTAGAGTTACTCTTCATAAATGCTACGAGCATTGCTAAGCTGAAACTACTGAACGCATAGTGAAGGTTAGCGCTGACACGCAATGTTGTTGATCTTGGTAGGAACTAAGACTTCCAGGGTAGAAGACTAACGTCTGATAAAAGAAGGATGAGCTTGTGACTTTAAAGCCGAGCTTTCCGAGTTCTGTTACCGGAAGGAAACCATGATACAACAGGAGCTACGGCGCGGACCTGCCTTTGGTCTCTCCACAGCAGCCCCAGTAAGTACCACCTGAACTTCTAATGGAAAGAACAAGTCCAAACTCGGGGCAAGAAGTGCACAAAATCGGCTGGGAACGCATCACACCAGGAAAGCAGAAAGCTCTCAGACTAATGAAATAACAGACCATCAAAGCAGCTTCTGGCTTTAAGTGCTTCCGAGTTGGTGCCTACAGCGCCACCACACCCCCAAAAGCAGCTGCTTGTTGCTGCTAAATGCCATCGAGTCACTTCTGACCCACAGCGACCTTGTGCAGGGTTTCTAAGGAGCAGCTGGTGAGCTTGAACCGCCGACCTTGGGGTTCAAACCAACTTTGCAGTCCAGTGCATTAACCCAGTGTCACACCAGGATTCCAAAAGCAACTTAAAGGGACATAAAATACTCGCTGTCGTGTAGACCCTTTGGTTGGTGATGATGCATGGAGGGGACTGTAACCATGGCAATGAAATGATATACGATAGGATGAATGTAAAACTAATGTTCTCCCATGTAAACTATCACATCATTCACAATAAAACATTTAAAAAATAAAATAAAATACTCGCATCATTACCCACATCACAGAGTAAACATTAGTTCTTACCATATCTATAGCAAAGAGACAGCTGTCGTCCCAGATATCTACGGAAATCGTATCACCAATCAGCACGAGGTCCTCAGCAAGCAGTTCCAGGACTCTGATTATCACTAGTCTGCTACCTGGGAATACAAAGAGAAGACAGAAAAACACAAAAAGGCACTTCATTTTCAGGTAATTAGCTGAGCGGTTCAATTTTCTAAGTAATTGTGCCCTAAAATTCCTAAAATTTCTACTTGTCTTTTTTTCTGCTTACAAAACTCAAGAAAGAGATCAATGAAGAACCAAGCCACCCCACTGTAGCCGAGTCAATTCCCAGTCCGAGCCACCCTGGATAGGGTTCCCTAGTATGAGAATCTCTGCAGGAGCACACAGCCTCATCTTACTCCTGCAGAGCGGCTGGTGGGTTTGAACTGCCAGCCTTGCAGTTAGCAGTCCAGTGCTTTTCCTAGAGTGCTGTCAGGATCTCAAGCCTACACCTATCCTAAATTAAAAAAAAAAAAAAATGCCAAAGGAATTTGGAGGTATCAGAGTCATGGCCACGATAACAATGTCCCTGCTCCATGGAGACAGAAGAAAGGGTCCCAGACTCCCGCTCTCTGAAGGGGGCTCACAGCCAATCGAGGCTAATTCCTGATGAGGAAAGTCACACCCAACCAGCAGCCCCTGAGGCCCAGTCTCGTCAGAGCAAATGGAGCCCAATCTCTTAGAGGACACTCACAACATTCAACAACCACAAATCAGGTAATAATTTCCCACAAAAGGGTACGAGAACACTGAGACCGTTTCAGGCAGCAAGCTACAACTGCACAATTACCAGTCTAACTATTAACAGCAAATTTAGAAAAGGTTAACTGTAAAACCATCACATCTGAAGCTGTTCGTCAGTTACTGACACCGAGAAGACAGACTTCATACAACACCGTTCAGCTCTCCCTTCACAGCACAGGTAGAAGAATTACCTCCCAGAGGTAAAGTTCTTCAGCCACTGAGAAATGAGGGTAGGATCACGCGGTTTCCCTCAGGAAAGAAACATAGGTCAATGCTTCACAAATGTTTCCTTTCCTGTTTTCCTTCTCATCACTTCCCAACAAGCAAAACAATCACCACAGGACTTTAAGAACCATAAATATGTTACACACGTGAGGGGTTTCAAAAGCTTGTGGAAAATTCCATTATCTTTCAACATCCACAAACTATTCCACCAAGATACACCACAAAAGGCAAAACGTCTCTTGTATTCATATCTTGACAAATTTAGCCTTTACTGAAAATGTATTTGCTGTCATTAAGTGCCGCTGAGTCCATTTTGACTCACAGAGAACCTGTATAGGGTTTCTGAGGAGAGGCCCATGAGTTTGAACCACCAACCTTGCAGTTCAAACTAGCTTTACGGTCTGGTGCTTATCTTACAGGTTCAGAGAATAAAACTGATCATTGCTTTCAAATCTTTCAATTTCCCTGTTCTGCAGACAAATGCTGACGTGTCTAAGAGCATGTATGGCCTTTAGACCAAGAAGGGTCTGGGTTTGAGTTCCTGTTCTCAGATGTCTGACTTTGGGGGAAGTTTCTAAACCACTCCCAAAGTCCTCTTTTTCTGATTTGTAAAATGGCGTTAAAAACAGAAGCTCCTCCCTTTAGGAGTGAATGAAGCAACTCTGCAGACAAAACCAAGTCAGATGACCACGGGGCGGTAGCTGCTGTCTTGTGACATTCCTCAGGCTGGCACTGCTGTCTTTGTAATTGTTGCTGAATGCCACAGAGTCGGTTCGGATACACAGCGACCCTGTGCAGGGTTTCCGAGGAGAGCTGAACTGCTGAGCATGTGGTTAGCAGTGCAATGCTTATTTTCCAGAACTACATAAGGACTCTGCCCTAGGCCCCGACAGCCACCGCACTCCACCTGCATGTGCTCTGGACTTGTCCAGCACTTGTGGGGACAATGAAGCCCAGAACTCGGGATGGCTGCTTTGAATTGTTGGTGGGCTTTGTGTTTGGTTTCCGAAGATACGGGACTGAGCAGGTTTTGCTTTGACCTTTCACCTGCTTTGTGGCCTGGGGACGTGAAGACTAGGGAGAGGAACAAGTGTTTGACAGAAACCGGGCATTTCTTTCGGAGCCAGCGCTCCAGCTTTCTGTACTCAGAAGTGAAGGCCAGGGCTAGGACAAACGCCTAGAGGAGAGGTGACCGGAACCACATTTACGTAAGAGATACCACAGACCCCACTCACTGCTTAGAACCGTGCAGCTCAGGAGATACATGAACACAGACTGTCTGCTCAAACAGAGGAAAGCAAACAAAAATGGTAGGAAAAGCACATGATCTCGAAACCACTTACCTGTCCTCAGGAGAGGTACAGCCGCCTCCAGGACAGACACACAGAACTGGGGGACACTTAGCTGCAGCAGCTGCAAGCCCAGCGTGTCCTCGGCCCCCAGCTCCGGCAGGTCCACGTGCCCCATGTCCAGGGGAGAAGGGACAGACATCCTGGAGTGGACGTGAGCGTGACCACTGCTCCCGCTGTAAGACAGACGTGTAATGAACCTGGAACACGGGCAGCATCCTCCCACAGGCTGACTGGGCAGCTGCTGCCGGGCATTTGGGAGTCTCCGAGGAGACACAGCCGTCCTGCTCAAATGAGAGCCCTGGCGGCACTAGAGGGTCAGCATCGGACGCTAACCGCAAGGTCACCAGTTCAAACCCACCAAGTGCTCCATGGGAAAAGGGGCGGCTGTCTACTGCCATAAAGGTAATGGCCTCGGAAACCCTGTGCGGGGTGCCTGTGAGTGAGGTTGGGGTTATTCTGCTGAAAGTAGCCCTAGCAGTGGCCAACTGTAAACCCACCCAGCGGCCACGCTTTCCAGGTAAGACAGTAAGACTGTCAGACCGTGACGTCAGGTCTGACTTAGCAACACCAGAGGACAGAGGAGACCTGTCCCCCCAGGGTGCCCACGGCTGTCATCTTTACTGAAACAGACTTCCTCCCTGACGGAGGGGTTGGTGGATGCCAGTCGCAGACTCTTAATCCTCGGCACCACCAGGGCTCCTGTCTGTAAGACTGCATCCTGGGAGCCTTGTGGAGCAGCTCCGTCCTGCACACACCCCCCACCCCCCCACCCCCCGCCGACAGCTGCTATGACGCAGAACAGAGTCAGCAGCAGAGAGGCTGGGAGACTGCGCCAGGAAGTTCTGCTCAGACTGCTATAAGCCTTGTCAAGTTTATAAAATTAGATTCCATAAAGATGGCCCAAAATGGTAAATGAAGCCAAAAATCCAGTTCTAGTTTGCTTTACAAATTGAGTATCTAGAAATGTCTTCCCAATCTCTGTAGCATCAATCAGCATTTGCACAGATAAACCCACTCGTTTCTAAACGAAAACAAACTGATTTACAGCCTTCTCCACTGTCTTCACTTGGGGTGTGTCAGGTGAGGATGAAACGCCCATAGAGGCCTGAAGCTCACATTTACAAACCAACCGAAATAGAAACAAACCCACTGCCCTAGAGTGGACTCAGCTCACAGCGACCCTGGACAGGGTTTCCGAGATAGTAAAGGTTCCTGAGGAGTGGCTGGTGGCTTTGAATGACCAACTCTGGTTAGCAGTCTAACACCTAACACACTGCGCCACCAGGGCACCTTCAAAGTTAAGGGAACTAGAAAAATTTGCCATTTGATGCTTGCCACAAATGAAGTCAAATCACAGAAACTCACTAATGCCACTGAGGATTTGTTGTTAAGTGCCATTGAGTTGGTTCTGACTCACAGCAAGCCCGTAACAGGGTTTCCGAGGCTGTAAATCTTTGCAGGAGCAGAAAGCCTCATATTTCTCCCGATTGAACATTGTTGTTGTTGTTAAGCGCCATCGAGCTGGTTCCAACTCATAGCGACCCAGTACAGCGTTTCCGAGGAGCAGCTGGTGAGTATGAACTGCCGAGCCTGAGGTTCCAACAGACCTTACGGTCCCATGCCTCACCCTGCAGCACCATGCCAGGACTCTGAATGAACACCCATCACCCTAACTTTCATACTGCCTTCAGCAGGTTTGCTATTTCAGTGCACGCAGGGTCCCAGTCAGGGGCTGTTCAGGCAGGGGGTACTTCCCAGCATTACATCAACAGACAAGAGCCCCTCAGGGAGTATCGCTTCAAACACACAGCTGGAAAGAGAAGCCCATGGGTGTGAGAGGCTCGTGTGGCCTGCACATGGCTGAAATCGAGACAGGACAGAGAACAGAGCGCAACAGCCCCAGGCTTGGCCAGGCTGCAATCTTTATGGAAGCCTAGGGCCTGAGTGTTCTCTTGCAGAGCAGCTGGTGGGTTTGAACCATCAACTTTTCGGTTCGTAGCCCAGTGCTTCACCAGTATGTCAGCAGGGATCCCTGTATCTGAAGGATGAGGTAACATTTAAATTCCCTACTGATCTGTTTAAACAAATCTGGATATATGACAATCTGGAGTTATACAAACACATCACTGATAGAAACTCTGTACATTACAGGAGTCCTTGCTTGATACAGACAGCCCTGGTGGCACAATGGACTAAGCACTGAGCTTCTAAGCTCAAGGTTGGCAGTTCAAACCCACCCATCACTCTATGAAAAGCGATGAGGTTGTGTGCTCCCATAAGGAGCTGCAGTCTCAGACACCTTAAGGAGCAGTTCCACTCTGTCCATCTAGTGTCCCCGTGAGACGGAACTGACTTGATGACAAAGGGTCTGGTTGGGGCTTGAAGTTTTCTTTATAAAGAGATTTTCCAATCATTCCTTTAAAAATAAGAAATACTGATGGACTTAAATCATGATTACATTTATAAAATATAAAACTTGGTATCAAATATTAAAAAGCATGCATCTATAACTGAAACAACGACTTTAAACTAAGTCACATTAAATTTGTGGCTGGGAAGGACAATTTTGTGGGTCAGAATCATCATTCCTTTTTATTAAAAGAGAAACAAACAGAAAATACCACAGCTCAGTGTCGAGTGATATAAGGAATCCACAGCGCAGTGTTTGTGGGTGACTCGCATTTGTGGACACACATAAACACAGGGCACATTTTGGGCCTGCGTTCCAACGTATTTCTATTTCTTCCTGTGGATCCTCAGGGCCCCAAAACGTGCAAAAAACTACTGGTTTAAAGCCAGACTTGTACCTATGATAATGGTTTTTAAAACAACAGAGAAAATTCCTGTCTCCATCTAAACTGGACACACACAGGTCCGCAGCTGAGTGGATGTCCCCAGCTCCCTACAAGCACAGGCCGAGTCACCTGGAAGATACGGCATCCCAATCCTGGCCGTCCCCTCGAGGACGCTGGCCAGTGCGCCCTGCCACAGAGGGTCGGGGGCTGCTGCTTCCTGGGGACGGGTTCTGCGAATGATGAGCACCCTGGGCTTCATGACAGTAAGACAAAGAGGAACTCTGGGAAACTGTGTCTGGAAGAAACAAAGTATAATTGTCCCTTAGTAAAACTAGGACCTTGTATTTAGGGAACACGCACACACATGTAATGGGTACAAAGCAAGTAGGAGACCAGCGTGCATGGGGTTGTGCGGTTTATAAAAGAACACGTAGCATGTGTGTTATGAGTAACAGCTTATTTAAGTGGAATTACGTAACAGCTAAGTCCTCCACCCGTCTGTGCATGTAGCTGTAACACTGGAAGCTATACCACCAGCATTTCCAGCACTAGCAGGTGTCTCAGAAGACCTTCCAGACTAAGACAGGTTAGAAGGAAAGGTCTGGGAACTTCACATTCAGGTCTACATCTAACGGAATTCCTTATAAAGCACCTTCCAGCCAACATTATTGACTTACAATGTTGGCTGAGTCCTGGTGTGGCACTGCAGGATAAGCACTAGACTGCTAACCACAAGGATGGCCGTTCAAACTGACCAGCAGTTCCTTGGTAACCCTATACCAGATTGCTGAGTTGGAACTGACTCAATGGCACTTCACAACCACCACCAAACAGACCACGATTGGATGAGGCAAGCCTGTACTGAAAGCTCTCCAAGAGCTGGTCACTGCACTTCTAGAACATAGACAATGGGGTCCCTGTCTTGATTCTCTGACCTCACCCCAAGCTCCTCTTCCCCAGCACGCTGGCTCCAATCCCATGGCCCTCACCCCCCATTTATAACTCTCCAAGTGACGCTCCTCCCCGAACTCTAGCTCATCGAGTCCCGCTCGCTCCTTGGACCCTTTCTGTCACAGCCTGTACAGCCTCCACGCACTCTCCTATCAGACCCAAACTCCTTTATCGAAGCTCCTAGGGCCAAGGGCCTGGGTTAGCCGTGTTCAAATGCTACCCAGGCAATGGCCTCTGGGAGGTGACGAATAGCATCACTTTAGCAGAGATGTCTACTGCTTCCGTCAGCAGGGGAACCGCCAGTGACTGAGGCGCAGGGCACACGGACACGCTCTGTCATCAATCACTGTGGAATGCCACGCCTCAAGAATGCGAATGAATCAAACCAGAAGCATTCATGAGGAAGCCTCACACCCTGAACGTTCTAGAAGAGAGCCGGGGAGAAGCTTACGGGTTTGCGAAGTAGAGGAGTGACCCTCCCTTGACACTCAACCTCCAGGAGCCACAAGTTACAGACTACTTGATCAAGTCAGGTCACTACCGGGCCAGTAGGCAGCGCTGGAGTCAGACGATGCCCTAGACTACAAGTCACATATAAAGACAGTTTGGGGGCGCTAGTACTCAAAGGGCTACTGACCTCCTCCTAAGGGTGACACAGGTTCTGGAAACGGGCAGTGCAACATGGCGGATGTACCTATCTTACTGAACTAAATGTGTACAAAAATACTGATAAGGCAAATGCTCATATATACGTGCCTTTGTATGTATACAGACATTTTTAATACACGGTGTTAAGTGCCATCGAGTCATACCCAAGTCTTATGAGGTTGAGTCAAAAATTATCCACACTCAGGCTGTAGAATTGAATCAATTACATCATTTTTTGACATAATCTCCTTGCTTTTTACTACACTGCGGCCATCTGTCAACAAGTACAGGTATTCCCTTATTTAAAAAATGTTTTAGGTTGAGCTGCAAGCACGTCTGTCTTCACTTCGTCATCAGAGGTGAATCTTCATCCTAAAGGGTTGCTTTCGGGGGACCAAACAGGTGAAAATCTGATGGAGTAAGATCAGAACTCTAGGGAGGACGCTGTAACATCGCAAAATGAGTTTTCGCAGTGTCAACAGCATGAGATCACAAAGCCCTTGGAGAGCAGTCTTGTGTTTAATCGGAAGTTCAGGCTTCAGCTCTTCAGTGAGCAGCTCACTGTAACAAGCACTGTTGACTATTGAACCTTGTTACTGATCGTGCTCCAATATTGTTCCTTGAGAGTCCCAGAAAACTGTAAGCAGCAATTTCCAGCTGATGAGTCCACTTTTGAACTTCTTCTTGGTCCGCGATTAAGGATACATTCATTCCATACTCTCGTTTACTCTCAAGCTCATAGTGATGACTAAATCCATGTCTCTTCATCAGGAACGATTTTGTTTTTAAGAAACTTTTACCTTCCTGTGACTATCAGTCCATACTTTGTTTGCAGATGTCCAAACACTTCTGTTTATGCCCCTACATGAGTTGTTTTGGTACCCAGCTCGCACAACCTTTTCGAAACCCAAGTCTGTGGTGGGTTAGGCAGAACCATGGCTGATTTGCAAATGATTTGCCACATAATCCACTGTCACTCGTCTATTCAACAGAATCATTTCATGTGCATGCTCACTGCTGCCATCAACTGTGGACATGGACAGGCATTTTACTATAACCAGAGTGCAGATAATTTTTGACTCACCCTCATGTTTACTTGCTACAATAATAAAAGGCTTCATACAGTATAAAATCAATGTTTCTGAAATCAATTAACAGAAACTGCTATTACTTTTTTCATTCATATATGACTGTCTAAAATGCCCCCAGTTCCACGTGAATATCCATGTGTCTAGTCTCTAGCTCCCAGCAACACTGTACCGATGTGGACGGAGGAAAAGGGCAAACACCCGCAACCATCTCTTATCAAACAAACAGAAGCGGGCATGGGGTCTGTTATCTTCATACAGTCAGTTTTCCAAGATGAAGTGATCCCATCACGTTCAGGATGTTGCAAACGTGGGGACGGTAAGTTTGACGGTAGCTGTGAAGGTAAAGGGACACCCACAGCCATACCTTGTTTACTAGAGAAAAAGCCTGGGTCTCGGAGAAAGTTGAGTCTGCTCCTCAGGTTGATGCACAGCTGCTGCAGGCAGGACGCGGAACGCAGAGCCAGACGATGCTTCCCGGTGCCTTCCAGTGCCAGCTTCAGCAGAGTCAGCAGGCCCTGAGAGGGAGCAGAGACGCAGAGCTCACACATGGCTCAGGACCCAGCCAATGGAAGGACAACACCACAGGGCCAGATCCACGTAAGATTCACGGAGCTGAGTGCGCAAAAAATGGCCTCAGCGGTTGTAGTAACGGGCCCAAAGACGACAAAAGCATTTCCATATGATAATCAGGGTTTCTAACCTCCAAGAGCTGAGCAGCCATTCTGTAAGAACTCAGGAACACGACATTGCACAGAACGCTCCAGTCTTTTGTCACAAACATCTAAGTCTCCTTGTCACTGCTCCTGTGTGCCCCAAAGGTGGGGGCCACTAAGCATGTACCAGAGCCGCCGCTCACAGGCATGCATGGCAGCCGTGTGCCTGTGAAGGGTCTGAGGTGGGACTCGATGCTGTGCATGTGCCCACTCTGACTCCCTCCCGCTCCACATTACAGCAGCAGCACACGAGACGGGAATAATCCAGCCACGTGGTTCATGTTCGCTGCCATCAAACTCTGCCCCAACAGACCAGAGTCGCAAATGAGTACTACTCTTACCACAGGAGCCCTGGTGGCACAGTGGGTTAAGCTCTGGGCTGCTCACCAAAGGTCAGCAGTTCAAACCCACCAGCTGTTCAAAAGGAGAACGATGTGGCTGTCAGCTCTTGTAGAGATTTCCCATCTCAGAAACCCTAAGGCGCCAACGACTGCCTTCCTGGGTGTCTCCGAGTCACGGCCATTCTTACTACCCATACAGGGTACTGCTGTCCCGCTTCAACTCCCGAAGTCCATCCTGGTGGTGGGGACCCACCCAAGGTGAACCCAAGGGAGCCAGAGTGTCCCAAATACAACTACCACCTGTCAGAAAAACGACCATGATTCCAGAAAGGTAGATAAGAAGTGGTTTCAAGAACCAAAGACCTATTTTCAAAGTTTTTATGCAAATTTCCCTCCCAGGGCCTCCTCTATGAAAACTCTGTTTTACAGCTGAAAGAATGCCCTCACTTCAGCATCTTTAGCCACTGCATCAGGTACTCACCTGGACAATCTGGGGCCTTTGAAGGAAAATCTCTGCAGGAAAATCTTGCATGATCACATCCTTCAAGAGTTCACAGGTATTCCAGATTAAAGTGTGGTTGTTACTTCGTAATGAGCTACGGAACAGAGCATCACACACTTATAACGAGCTCCCCTACACCACTAAGTAGCATAGGGGTTACAAGTTGGGCTGTGAACCTCAGGGTCAGCAGTCTGAAACTACCAGCTGTTATGCAGGAGAAAGATGAGGCTTTCTGCTCCCATAAAGATTTACAGCCTCGGAAACCCTGTGCAGGGTCGCTATGAGTCGGAACCGACTCCACGGCACACAGCCACCACCACTAAGTAACACGAGGCCACAAAGAAACAACTGAAAAGAAAACCCTTCTGTCTCCGCTAAGCAGCATTCCCTTGGAAGGCTTCTCAGACCTCTCCCAGTCAACAGTTCACACGCACCCCAGAACCAGACACACCCACAAACCAGATGCAGCTTGGAGACCGTTCTATTGGCAAGAGAAGGTCACCAATATGAAATGGAGGAAAATGGAGATCAAGATTGTGGCGGTGAGGGACTGAACTCTGTGGTGCCAAGATTCTCTTAAATGTACGCAGGCCAGCCCCAAGTACTGCTATACAGTCAGAGAACGCGTCATCAAACAAAAGTATCCGAATGTGAAGCTATGGTTCTTAAGCCTCCATACAGGTCTACACACTCAGGAAGGTCGTGTTCCAGCCAAACCCTTCCCTGACGAATTCCGCACTCTTCAGCCGACTCCAAGTCCAAGCGCCAGTCTGGGCGTCCTTGAGGGACTCAGGCTGTGTTCCTTTCCAATGTTCTTTGAGTTTGGGGAACGAGTCTTAAAGGGCAAGACTGGGGTGTAGAGTGGATGGGGTTAAGATTGCCCAACAGAATTCTTGTGACTTTCATGGTGGAAACAATTTCTCGGTGCAACTTTCCTGACCTTTTTCTTACCAATGCAGTTTCCAATTTCCTTAAAACTTCTCCCTAATAAGTGCCCCATGATGGTCCTGTGTCCTTAGAAAAGTCTATCAAGATGAACCTTGGGGATCAAAAAAGAATCACCATAACCCTGAGCTGACCTCTCTGCGTTGAATTTCACTGGCCCAGCAGAGCCCTTCGGAAGCCACTATTATGACTGGACCTTTGTTCTGAAGACACGCAACTGAGACTAAGACATGTGTATTGCATGATCACAGGAATATGCTAAAACACATTTTGTTTGGAATAAACCCATGCATGTATGAACTGAAACCCTAGTAGCAATACTTTTTGACTCCCTCTTATCTGTAAGCATGTGGGTGTACATAGTCACACAAACACACACAGAGGTAACTGCCCTCATGGGTATAGAGGCTTCTTCGTGCGTGTCTCTGAGGTAGAGAAATCACCTGTTGACTTTGAGTTCCCTATCAGAGCCCACTCAAGTGCAGAGACGTCCCCTGATCACACAGGCCCAGAAACTGCCCCCATGGTACCCAATGAGGTCAGTGGTCAAGGGGTGCAGTTCAAATAAAGCTGCTCAAGGAACCAGAAATGAAAGCCGAACGCTAATCATGAGTAAGAGTCAAGCTCTAGGAAATAGATTCCTTACTTCTCTTTTCTACTCTGGCTCAATCCAGCTTCCTGCGCAGCTCATGAACTGCTGGGAAAAAATCTGCCCAACATGTCAAGAAACCAACGCTGACCCCAACCCACACCCTCAGAAACAGTCACTGCCTCTTCCTCAGGGAACGAGGATGAAATGAGCAGATCAAAGCCAGCTGTGCACTCCACCCGTCAGATACTGCCATCAAAAACCACTTCTCAGCAAGCGAGCGCCTCTAGCCGAACCTAGAGAAGACCTGGTGGCACTGTGGGATAAGCACTAGACTGCAAACCACAAGATTGGCAGCTCAAAGCCACCAGCTGCTCTGCAGGACAAAGAGGAGGCTTTCTTCTCCTGAGAACATTTATAGCATGGGAAACCCTACGCAGGGTCGCTATGAGTTAGAACAGATTTGATGACGGTTTGGTGCGTCCTTAACAGCCGACCCTAACCCTGGCAAGCTGGTCATTCTTTTCCAGATTCTCACTGAAACATGACAAATAGCTCATCTGTTGGGTAACTCTTTGAAATTAAGCTTGCAGCAAAAACTTAATCAGGACTTTAAATAACTTTCTAAACTTACATTTCTCACCTATCTACACTTGAGAATAACAATCAGTTAACATACATCCCCTAAGATTAGACCAGTGGTACCCAACTGTGTTGCACTGAATTCCTGAATGTCTCTTCTAGCCAAAGTCTGTCGTGGTGCTGATGGTGATGTGCTGTGGAGTTGGTCCCAACTCATAGCAACCCTGTCCAGGGTTTCCGAGGCTGTAAATCCACACGGAAGCAGAAAGCCTCATCTTTTTCTCAAGGAACCATTGATAGTTTCAAACTCCTGACCATGAGATTAGCAGCCCAACTCCTTAAGTCTGCTGTAACACCCACCAAGTGACTTTTTCCTGAAGATGCTGATGTGATGTGATTCATTGGTGAGTGACAGCTAACAGGTTAATGCAAACTCTGGGGACTCCAACGAGGGGATCGGTCGGTGTTACCATCCTGCTGGGCATAAAATCAGCCACGTCAGAAGCAGGACGGGTATCTCACCACCATCATACAAGAGCCAGGGGTGGGGCACATTCTATGGACGCCAAGACCCTGCACACAAGCTCCACAACCCAGGAGCAGAAAGCTGTGGGACCCACAGAGCTGTGGCACAGAACCACCAATCAGAGCACGAGACTGGGCTTCCCAGGCCACGGAGCACATAAAGCTGACTGACTCGGCAGGAGGCTTGTCTGAAGCCACTTCAGTCGGGGAGCTAGAGCCGAGGGCCTTCAGGCTGAGGCTTACAGTGGACTGGTGTGTACTGAGGGCGATCAGCAGCAGCCCTGACAGAGCTCTGTAACGGTGTCAGGGCAGAGAGATGTCTGCATGTGGGCACAGCTGAGAAGCTGTCCTCACTGGAACAACTGGACCCTGAGCATTACTGACCCTGAATTGTAACTGCCAACTTCCCGACTAAACCCCGAACTGCGAGTCTGCTATGGGAGTTCTGTGTGGCCACCGCAGTGACCTGCAGAACCCCGCTGTGGAAGCGAGTTGGGTAGTATGATTTTTCTTCCACCAACCTTCTCAACTCTACACAGTTTTCTCCTAACAGCTCATGCTTTGAAATAATCATCTATCAGAGAATCTGTCTTAATGTCTCCCTCTCCCTTTTTACTAGTCCCTTGTAAGACATAAACCCAGCCAAGAATCGGGCCAGTAGGCACCAGCGCACGCTGCCAAGCAGTCCACAAGACTCCAACCACAAAAGACAAGCCCTGCACTCTTGGGCCCAGAGTCAGTGACATAGCCACAGAGGGCTAGAGTGGAGAGGGAAGCGTCCAGCTGATATGCATAAGAACACCCACATTTGCAGATAATACCCACTTATCCTGGCTTCAGTGACTGGATGATCAGAGCTCAACCAGAAGTAAAAAGAAGAGGGAAAAAAAAAAAGTATTCTCATACAATTTGATGAACTTGACCTACACCTATGGAAGCAGTAGCTCAAAAGAGGGAATAAGTCCTTACAGCAAGAATCATTCCCACCCCCTCCACACAGAGTAGACAGGGATGGGCAACTTGAACATTGGCTACCCAAAATGGGGGGCCGAGGGCTACAAATGCAAGAAGTGACTGGCTTACAAACTTTCAAGAGGGAACCTAGATCCAGAGGGCCTGGAGGAAGGTAGAATCTCCAGTGAGTAGTATTCGATCTGTCTAGGCGGGGCTGAAGCAATGAAATGCAGATAGGTCTCTTGTGATACAATAGTGAATACTTGTTACCAGGACTGATTGTGAGGGTCGGAAATGTAAAGGTAGACGTTTTATAGCAAGAAGGGGAGTGATTAACTTTTCAGTGTAGGAGCGGAGGTCCCTAGGACTATCAAGGGAGAAGAGCAGAGAGCGGAACCCTACCCAGAGAAGCAGTGATGCCTGAAATGGAGCCAGAGATGATGACGTGGAGCGATGGAGCAGCTGGAGACTTTAGATCCAGAGAGGGAGACCAAGTGTGTGCTGAAGACCTGGGGGGTACTGGGGAAGGATTGCATGAAGGAGATTGTAACCATGGCAATGAGACGATATAAGAATGAATGTAAAACTAATGTTCTCCCATGTAAACTATCACATAATTCACAATACAACATTTATGAAAAAAAAAGACAACCCCTGATGTGTGGCCTGGTTCAGAGGCAACAGAAATGCTTGGATTTGCTTCTGGAAGGACTAAAAATCTTTCACAGATCCCCACTGCCACCTTGCACAGTTCCTAATGAAAAGATGTTGTCACAACTAGAACCATCGGACGTCATGGCTATACATGAACACGATGCCTCAAGTAGTTCACGCGCCGTACCTTTCGTTAGAGGAAAGAATATGGCGATCTGTCATGGTCAGGGGCAGCCAAGGAAACACAGAAAACTTCAAACACTTCACGGTCCGGCTTCCTGTTAATAGAAGGGCGAACTTTAAAGCCCCCAGCTGAAGAGTAGGCCTTGACCTTGAACACCATCCCCAGAATCAAGGCTTCATCTTACAGTGACCTCAAGTCAGTAGCAAACGTGTTCTCTGCCTCTTTTAAACCGAGCTCAGATGTTATCAAAGTAAGTCCAGAGGAAGAACATGGACCATGAACCAATCATGAATGACATTTTGAAGTTTCCGTGGAATTTTCTGTTTTATCCTGTGGCTGACCAGAACATGGAGTTGAAATTTAACAACACAGATGGCTCCTGCATGGAGCACACCTTCCCCAGTGGGATGACGCTGACTCAGTTGTGGTAATGTAGCAGTCACGTGTCAATATCCTGTATGACGTCAGACTTCTCCTTCAGCCTGAAAGCTCCGTGGAGACGCCTCGGAGATGGCGGGCTCACATGGAGAAGTGCAACCCACCAGCACCACCTTAACCTCACAGACCAGACAGCTCTCTTTTCCTTTTCATATTCTTCTAGAATATATATATAACCAAAACAGGTGTCGTTGCAACCATTTTCCAGTGTACACTTTTATGTGACTGAAACATTCAGTTTGGTACAGGAAATCTACGTTTGCTCGTGTACGACCGACCTAGCTTCGCACTGATGGGAGTTGTCCCTTCACCTGAGGCCAAGTGCCCACCCTAGGAACCCACTGCACTTCATGCTTACCCACTGGCTGTGGAGGTACATCCACCTGCGGGAGACAACTTTTGTCCTGAGGAAAATATCCCGTCAAGATTTCCGCTTCTTGTGAAAAACCTGTAAAGAAAATATCCATTCCAGTTTTCCAGGTTATTTGCTAAATGTTTCTTATACGATAAACCCACCTGCCCAGTGTCCCCTGGTTTGTTTTTCTGTGGCTAAGCCAGGATTCTAATGTTTGCTCTGTCACTTCCTGCTCTTCCTAACACCTATCATGATCTCAGTTTGTATCTCCATCTACCTCCCATATGCCTCACTGTAGGTGTGCATGGGCTGAGGGCCGCCAGGAGGGCATCAGAGGACAAAGGGACAACACATGCCCACAACGCCTGTTCAGTAAGTGCAAGGGTTACACCCATCACAAGCTCTCTGTAGATCTGTTCTCTCACCAGCCTTGGGCACTGCGCTTGTTATCACCCACCTATAAGTGCCACCAGGTACAGCAGTGGTCCAGGAAACAAATTGTAGTGCTACAAACACAGGCTGTCAGATGGAACAATCAAAAGGGACTTCTCCACTCTCTCTACCCAACACACACGTTCCAAGCACACTGGGCTTCAGCTCCGTGATTGGTAGCTGCCAGGCCCGATGGGTAAACACTCTACAGGCACCTTTCAATGAATCCTCATCACAGTTCCGTGAGAGATCCTGCTGTTACCCAAGTGTTAGATGAGAACCCGGCAGCCTCGGCGGTTATGTCCCATAGGCAGGGTCACATAAGAAGTGGCAGAAGTGAGACTTCACCCGCGCCTGATTTCCTCAGCGCACCACAGTGCAGCACGGTTTATAAAACACTCACATCGTCTCACTTGACTCTGCTCCTGAGAACAAAATCCTGGGTGCAGGTGAGGACTGCTATACTGCTATACTGGCATGTGAAGCATTAAGACCCACAAATGCAAGGACCAGCCATTTACAGCAACGTCTGCCGTGGGGCAGGGAGGGTTCAGTGACAATCTGTGAAATCATCTACCACACAACCTCACCAAAATAAGGCACTCCTGTCTCTCAAGGCCCAGGGCCTTGAAATGTATCAACGTAAATGCCCAATGTATACATGTGTACAATGTAAATAGCCAATGTTATATGTATCAATGTAAACACCCAATGTATACATGAGTAAAAAAATGTAAACAGCCAATGTTATATGTGTGTACAATGTAAACACCCAATGTATACGTGTATCAATATTAATGCTTAATGTATACATGTGTATCAATATTAACGCCCAACATATACATGTGTACAATGTAAACACCCAATGTATACGTGTATCAATATTAACACCTAATGCATACGTGTGTATCAATATTAACGCCCAGTGTATACATGTGTACAATGTAAATGCCCAATATATACATGTGTACAATGTAAGCAGCCAAATGTATACATACATATTATTTAAATGACCGAATGTATAAACGTTTATCATATAAATGGCCCAATGTATACGTGTATATCAACGTAAGCGGCCTGATGTGGTATATAGATGTGTGTGTGTGTGTGTGTGTGTACATATATATACATACATACATGCCAACCTCTGGTAGTGGGAGTCCTGGTGTGGCACTGTGGGTTAATGCGCCAGACTGCAAAGCCGTTTGAACAGCAAAGTCGGCAGTTCTAGCTCACCAGCTGCTCCTCGGAAACCCTATACAGGGTCGCTATGGGTCGGAACTGACTCGACAGCACTTCACACCACCTCTGGTAGTGTAGTGGTTACAAGTCAGGTTGCCAACCTCAAGTTCAGCAGTTCAAAACTACCAGCAGTTCCACGGGAGAAAGATGAGGCGTATTGCTCCCGTAAAGAGTTATAGCCTCGGAAACCTTGTACAGGGTCACTATGAGTCAGAACCAATGCCACGGCACTCAAAAACAACAACAACAACCAATATATAGGGTCCAATGAATACATGTGTATTGACATAAAGGGCCCAATGTATACATGTATATCCACATAAACAGCCCAATGTACACAAGCCTATGAACATAAAGGGCCCAATGTACACATGCAAATCAACTTAAAGTGCTCAATGTATACATCCATAGCCACATAAATAGCTTAATGTATACATGCGTATCATATAAACGGCCCAATGTATACACGAATATCCACAGAGGGCTCAATCCTATCAACATAAAGGACTCAATGTATACATGTGTGTCAACATAAAGGGCCCAATGTATACCTGTATGTACACATATGTATACACACATAAAGGGTCCAATCCTATCAACATAAAAGGCCCAGCATATACCTGCATGTCCACGTAAAGGGCCCAATACAAACATGTGTATCCACAAAAGGGTCCAATGAATATGTACCATCAACGGATGAATGTCTAAATATGCGTATCATATGAACGGCTCAATGTATCCATGTATTATTGACATAAACCACATGTATCATGTAAATGGCCCAGTGTATACATGCATATCAACATAAAGGGCTGAACATATACAGGTGTATCGACTTAAACAATTCCTCCTCTGAGTAACAGAAGTGGTCAAACCAAGAGGCCAAGGTCACGTGCATCAAAGCAGAAGATAAGAGTGTGGAGTGAGGCAAAGCTTTCCCTTTTTAAACAGCCCGCAATCAATGGATTCGTGTTACCCGTTGGGTCGACTGGGTAAGATGTAGAATGCAGTGCAGGGACTTCTGAAGGAAGGACAAACAGTCCGTCCAGAACGCCATCCACGGCAGCCTGCAGATCTGGCTCCAGGTTAGAACGAAGCTTAGACAGGAACTCTACCGCTCCAAGGTCAAGCAGATGCTGGATGGCAGGGGGGTGCTAGAAAGAAGAGCAGAGTCTTGAAATTAATCATAAATCCCAGACCCGTCTCAAAGTCTCTCAACTCTGTCTTGGTGCTGGGTGCTGCCAAGTTGATTCTGATTCACACAAAGTGGCTTTATACAAAGCAGTCATGGAAACATGGACTCGGCAGCCTTACAGGGCAGAAGAGAACTGCTCCACAGGGTTTCCTCATGAAGGCAGACGGCCACATCCATCTCCCCGGGAGTGGTCGGTGGGTTTGAACTGCCAACCTTTAAGTTAACAATTCAATGCTCAACCTACTATGACACCAGAGCTCCTCATAAATCGATACAGTCACTCAAAATCATGACTGTCAGCACGAGGGACAAGGGACATCATCACAAAGTTGACTTTGATTTCACTGTCACTTTGTTAGGATCGATTCCAAATCACCCCTCAGAGATGGTCTCATGAGTGACGACTAGCATCTTAAACATCTCTCACCACAGGCTGTCTTAGCTAGAACAGAAATGCTGCTAACGGTGGTTTTCACAAACTAATCCATTTCTTTAAGCTTGTTGTTGTTAAGTACCATCAAGTCAGTTCCAACTCCTAGTGACCCTAGTACAGGGTTTCTAGGGCTGTAAGTCCTTGCAGGAATAGAAAAAGCCTTATCTTCCGGTGGAGCAGCTGGCAGGCGCGAACCACAGACCTTGTGATTCACAATCCAGTGAGTATCCTACAGAACCACAGCACCTCCCCTTTGTAAAGCGTGTTGTTATTGTCCTAGCAACCCTGTACAGTGTTTCCGAGGAGCTGCTGATAAGCTTGAACCAACAACCTATGGTTCAAACCAAGCTAGCAGTCGAGTACTCATTCTGCAGCACCACCCGTGGACTCCCCTTGAAGCTGGGAAGGCTGTAAGTCTGCATTCCGGGTCCCTAGGGACCCACAGGAAGTCCTTGGTCCTTCTGAGCTGCTCTTCCTAGGGTTCTCTTCCCATCTCGGTTCTGCCTTTGCTTCCTTTTTAAATCTCTTTTATGTCTCACAAGAGATTGGCTCAAGACACACCCTCCACTATCATTAACTTAACAAAGACAACCCATTCCCAAATGGGACAACTACTGAAGTTGTAGCTGGTAAGTGCTGTTGAGTTGGTTCTAACCCATAGCGACCCTGTACACAGTTTCTGAGGAGTGACTGGTAAGCTTGAACCTCTGACCTTGTGGTTCAAACTGAATTTGCAGTGCAGCACATTAACCCACAGTGCCACACACTATGTTGCTGTTGTTGTTAAGTGCTGTGGTGTCGGTTCCGATCCACAGTAACCCTAAATAGGATTTCCGAGGCTGTAAACCTTTACAAGAGCAGAAAGCCTCATCTTTCTCCCGTGGAGCAGCTGGTAATTTCAAACTGCTGACCTTGTGGTTCGCAGCTGATTTGTAACCACTAATCTATAGAGGGCAGGATTTACAACACATATGGGGGCGAGGGGGGACACAGTTTAAGGCATAACAGTCTAAGTTGAACATGCCTTGTTTTCACCTTTTTTATCATTTGGAAAATGAGCGACATACATCATATTTTTAAATATTTGAATACCAATTAATCTTGCATTGAAAAAATTTAATAAGGTTCTATGGCTTAAGATGTGGCGCTGTGGGTTAATGCACTGGACTGCAAGGTTGGTTAGAACCTCAAGGTCGGTGGTTCAAGCTTACCAACCGCTCCTTAGAAACCCTATCTATACAGGGTCCTTATGAGTCTGAACCCGCTCAACGGCACTTAACAACAACGTCTTAAGAAGGACATCATGTTTGCTAAGGAGAGGGCTGTTTGCCCACTGTGAGGACTGGGCAGTGTTCCCTTCTGTTGTACACTGCGTTGCTACGGAAAAACTCAACAGGCACCTAACCACAACACATCTTACAAAGCAGCTCAACCATCTAATTTAAAAAACAATTAACTCATCAGTTTATAAATATATATAAAAATTATATAAGATAAATAATATCACCACTATAGATAAATTTACCATAGTGTTGCTTAATCGTTTACTCTAAGCTTAACCATTGACCTGGTTAAAAATTAGAAATTCAATTGTGTTTTATGCTATACTTTCAAACAGGACTCTTACCCGCCCACTCCCCTTCGGCACAAAAAATGTATGCCATTCATCAAAAGGCTGCTAAAGGAAAACTAAGAATCCCTTATAATTTTATATGTATATTTTTTGTCCTGGTGTGGTGTCGCAGACTAATGTGCTGGACTGCCAGTTCAGCTGAACTACAAGGTCAGCAGTTCAAGCTCACCAGCCCCTCCTCGGAAACCCTATACAGGGTTGCTATGAGTCAGAATCAACTCGACGGTACTTAACATAATCTTATAAGGGGGCATAGTGGCTCCACAGGATAAGCACTGGACTGCAAACCACAAGGTTGCAATCCCAGCCCACGGGCTTCTCTGTGAGAGAAAGATGAGGCTTTCTGCTCCCAAGAAAGATGTAAACCCTCAGAAACCCTATGCAGGGTCTCTATGAGTCAGAACCAACTCCATGGCACTTTAATAACATTATTTTATAGTAATTTACAGTTTTCAAAGTTTAAAGCCACATTTTGACATCTAATGACAGCTAAGTACTCGAAATAGGTGGTGGTGTTAAGTGCCCTCGAATCTACAACTTAGAGTAACCCTTTATAAGGTTTCTGAGGAGCAGCTGGTGAGTTTGAACCGCCCATCTTGCGATTCAAATCAACCTTGTGGTCCAGTGATAATCCTACAGCAGGACATCAGGACTCCTTGGGATCAGCAAAGAAACATAAAGATATGGGGAAAGCAATTTAACAGACTATTTACTAATCCTGGTCTGTACCATTGTTCATGAGCGTGTTCTCCTTAACACAAACACATGCAAACTTTAGACCAAACAAAGTATCAGAAAGACAAATAATGATCTTCATGCGATCCCCAAAACCAGCAAACAACAGAAATGAGAACCAATAAGGGTACCACCTAGAACAGTGGAGGCCAAGTGACCATCAACCTCACACAGAAGCACCACCGCCACCTGTCCAGCTGAGATAAAATTCAAGGTCTGTGGTTGTTTTGAGAATTTCAAAACACCCCCAAACCTAACTTTCCAAAGACAGGATTTTTAAGTAAGAAACATTCACTCATGTTATTAATTTATTTGAAACCGATCGTACCTTAACTAAAGTGTTCAACAGGTTGAGAGCCTCTTCTTTCATGGGAACGGATGGGAAGTTGAACCATTCCAGCAGATGGAGGAAAAGCTGCCGCTCCTGAACCAGGTCCGCACAGCAGATTAAGTTGTGCTCTACCTTGCAAAGGATGTTCCGCAGGGCGCGCTCCCTGATCTCCTCCAGCTGATGACCTGTCAATGGGCAAACCTGAGCTAGGTCCCCTTCCAACTCCAGAATTTACCCCGTTATCGGCAGGAGCCCTGGGGAAGCCAGGGGTTAGACACTGGGCTGCAAACCGAACGGTGGGCAGCTCCGCGAGGAAGAGGAGGCTTTCTGTGGGCAGCTCCGCGAGGAAGAGGAGGCTTTCTGCTCGTGTAAAGATTCACGGAGTCAGAAACTCTCAGATGTTGTTAGGTACTGTGGGTTTCCCAGGAGCGGCTGGTGAATCTGAACCTAAGGTGGCGTGCTTATCCCACAGCGCCACACACAGGGTCGCTACAGTCCCAACTAACTCCATTGCAGTGGATTTGTTTTTTTCTGGTGTAGCGCTCTGTGCTAATGCGCCAGACTGCACGATTGGCGGTTCAAGTTCAGCAGCTGCTCCTCGGAAACCCTATATAGGGTCGCTATGGGTCAGAATCAAGTCGATGGCACTTAACAACAACAAAGGAGAGGAAGACCCCCAACGAGATGGACTGGCCAAGTGGCAGCATCGACAGACTCAAGCATGGCAACAGCAGTGAGGTTGGCCCAGGAGCGGGCAGTGTTTTGTTCTGCTGTTTATAAGGTCGCTATGGGTTGATACCGACTCGATGGCACCTAACAACAAAAACAACAAAGCACAACAAAGGTTCCCTAAGGAGTTCTGGTAGCGTTGTTGTTGTGAAGTGCCGTCAAGTCAGTTCCGACCCATTGCGACCCTGCATAGGTTTCCAAGGAGCGACTGGTGAGCTTGAACCACCGAGCTTGTAGTGCAAACGGCTTCGCAGTCTGGCGCATTAACCCACAGCGCCACACCAGAACTCTGGTTGTGTAGTGGTTACTAATTAGGCTGCGAACCTCGGGGTAAGCAGTTCAAAACTACCAGCTGCTCCACAGAAGATGAGGCTTTCAGCTCCCGTAAAGATTTACAGCCTCGGAAACCCTGTACAGGGTCGCTATGAGTCAGAACCGACTCTACGGCACATAACAACAAAGGTTCCCTGGTGGCACAGTGGGTTAAGCTATCGGCAGCAGCCGCTCCGAGAGAGACCGATACATCTGTCTGCTTCTGTCATCACTTACAGCCTTGGAAACCCTGCCCTTTGGGGTCTCAGTGGTTTGTGTTCTGGATTCACCGCTGGGGGGTAGGGGTGGGAGACTGCCAGGAGATGGAGTCAAGAGGCCCCGGGATTCCCGGAAAACTGGGGTTTAGGGGGCGGGGATTGGGGGGTCCCCGGGGAACTGGGGTCCTAGGGGAGAAGATCGGGGGACCCCGGGGGTTCAGGTGAACCGGGGGTTTGGGAGTCCAGGAGGATGGGAGAGTCAGGATCTGTGGGTCCTGGGAGGCCGGGGTCCCGAAGGGCCACGGAGACTAAACCCGGTCAAGCGCGGGCCGGCCGGGCCGGGGACACCTGACAACACTATCGTATCGGCTAGTGCCCACGACTGGAGGGCGCAGGACGAGGTGCGGCGCGGGGACTCAGAACTTTACCGAGTTTCCGGATGAGTCCGCTCAGGACCATCTCGTCCAACTCGGCCGCCGCCGGAGAATTAAACCGCCGCGCCACGGAGTCCGGCTACACTTAACGTCCCCGCGGATACCAGGGCTGAAGGACAATGGTTCCGCTACGAGACTGACATTCCGCGAGTTATTCTCGGTCCCCCTTCTCCATACACACTTACAATCGCTATAATTTAGTTCGACGTAGTCCCTACACATGCCATAAAGATCAGAAACAATGAGGCAGCCACTTGTACTTTAACCGCTGTGTATGCCGGGAGTTGTAGTCCTCGGTCCGCGTGCTCACGCCCCCAGTTCCGGCCTGCCCCCTCCGCGCGCGCCAGCTGTAAATTCCGGCAGCCTTGCGCAGGCGCAGTACGGGGCTTGCGTACTCGCGCTCTCCCTGAGCTGATAGAGTTGAATGGAGAGCTAAGCTTTTTTTATTCTCTTTTGTGAGCACTGCCACCGATTGCTAACGGACTTACCATCTCTAACTGTGAAATGTATAAGCAGTGTCTTTTGATGTAGGAACACATATAAACTGTCAGGAACAAAGAAGGAAGCAACAATGTTGTTGTTGTTGTTGTTATGTGCCAACAGAGTCGACCCATAGCAACCCTGTACAGGGTTTCCAAGGCTGTAAATATTTACTGGATCAAAAAGCCTCATCTTTCTTCCGTGGAGCAGCTGGTAGTTTCAAACTGCTGACCATAAGATTAGCAGCCCAAATCATAACCACTACGCTACCAGAGGTCCTTTTACCAGCCAGTACTTGATAATATTTATGAAGCAAAATAATGATGTTCTCAAAATGGCCGCACTATTTATAATAGCGAAAAGATGGAGACAGCCTAAGTGCCCATGAATGGAAAAATGGATAAACAAACTGTGGTACATACACACGATGGAATATTATGCTACCCTGAAGAATAACAAGGAAGTTGCATGCCACCACATAACATGAATGAACCTTGAGGACATTATACTGCGTGAAATTAGTCACAAAAGGGGAAATACTGCATAGGACCATTACTGGAAAAGACTAAGAAAAAGATCCCATACTAAAGGGGAGGGAGGGGAATTCTTTGCTGGTTACTGGGATATGTGGAGTAGGGTGAGGGAGGCAGGGGAAGGTGGCACACAGGGTAGGGAATAGACACAGGATAGCTTGGGTGCTGGGCGGGGGCAGGGGAAATACATAAAAAGGGGGAAAGGAATGGAAGAACAAGGTGGATGGGAGAACAGCTATGCAGGTTTGCATGGGCTAAGTGGGACAGAGGTAAATAATGATGTATGCACAACCTTAGAACAACAGGGCTCTGGAATACAGGGATTGAGACATAGTTTGAGTGGGTAAAAGAGAGGAAATAATGTTAAGATGCTTGGCTATCTTTTGAATCTTGGTTTCCCTTGCCTACCATTGTAAAATTGACACTTGAGGGAGAGAGAAACATATAGCTAGAAACATCACCTTTGAAAGCTTTTAAGTCCATCTTCAGCCTATACCTGATTGGAATACCTAAAATGAGGCTAGAACTTGCCCAGTGAAGGAGGCTTCCTGCAGAGCCTTTGCATTGCATAAGACCATCTGTGGAATCCTGAACCCCATCCAGAATCTTCTGAGGTGGGAAATCTCCACTTGAAAGGATCAGCAGACCAGCCTGGAGTGGCTAGAACAAAAGACACTTCTTGAAAGAAAGACCAGCAGAGAAAATCAAAAACAATAATGGCAGTCCAACTGACTACTGTAAGAACAAGCAAGTTGTCCGCCCAGGAGCCATCAAGGCAAGGGGTCAGGTCCCCCCAGGGAAAACCCCCTTCTAAGACTAAGACTCAAGAGGAATACATGAGCAGGCATGTGGTCTAACTGATGACCATGTTGGTCATGGATAAGGGGAAGTGGGGGAAAAACAGCAATGAAGTTGTGATCTAAGTCTGACCACATTCAATAGACTCCTGTGAACTCGGGTTAAGACCTGGTTGGCCAGCAGTATGGAAAGACCCAGGGAATACTGGGCCCAGAGTCAGTGACATGGCCACAGAGGACTAGAGCAGAGAGTGAAATGCCCAGCTAATAAGAAGTGAGGGGAGAGGCACAAGAACACCCATACTTGCAAATAGTACCCACTTGACCTGGCTTCAATGGCTGGATGACCAGAATTCAACTAGAAGAAAGAAGAGGGAAAAAAGTGTAATCTGATATAATTTGATGAACTTGACTTGTACCTATGGATGTAGTAGCTCAAAAGAAGGACCAAATCTTTACAGTGAGGCTCATTCCCACCCCCTCGGTATACCGGGTTGAAGGGATGGGCAACTTAGATATTGGCTACCCAAAATGGGGGGGGGGGGTGTTACAAAGGCAAGAAGTGACTGGCTTACAAGCTTTCAAGAGGGAGCCTAGATCCAGAGGTTGTACAGGAAGGTACAATCTCCATTGAGTGGTTTCCAATCTGTCTAGACGGGGCTGATGAAAGGAGATGTGGATAGTACTCATGTGGTACAATAGTGAATAATTGTTATTAGGACTGACTTTGAGGGTTGGAAATGTAAAGGTAGACATTTTATAACAAATGGAGGGGAGTGGTTGACTTTGCAGGCCAGGAGCTGAGGACCCTGGGACCATCAAAGGAGAAAAGAAGAGTGTGGGACCCTATGCAGAGAAACAGTGACGCCAGAGATGGAGGCAGAGACGATGATGTGGACAGATGGAGCGGATGGGGACTAGACCTAGAGAGGGAGAGGTGCTATGTGCTGGGGGTCAGGGGGCAGGCTTGAGGGCTATACCCTTTGGTTGGTTGATGATTCATGGAGGGGATTGTAACCATGGCAATGAAACGATCGATATACAATAGGATCAATGTAAAGCTAATGTTCTCCCATGTAAACTATCACATAATTTACAATAAAACATTAAAAAAACAAACAAAAGAAAAAACGCTGCACTGACGCTCTCAATTTCTTGAGTGTTAGTTGTTGTTGTTGTTGTTGTTAAGTGCCGTTGAGTCAGTTCCGACCCATAGCGACCCTGTACAGGGTTTCCAAGGCTGTAAATCTTTACGGGAGTAGAAAGCTTCATCTTTCTCCCAAGGAGCAACTGGTAGTTTCAAACCGCTGACCTTAAGGTTCACAGCCCGATTCGTAACCACTACGCTACCAGAGCTCCTTTGAGTGTTAGTAGTGGATCCAAAAAAAAAATGAAGACCCCCCCCCCGCAGCTTCAGTCTTTTGTTCGCTTATCATGATACTATTTCTTGGTCCAGCATGAGGATCTTCGTTTTCTTTACATTGAGGTGCAACTCATACCGAAGGCTGTGGACTTTGATCTTCATCAACAAGTATTTCAAGTCCTCTTCATTTTCAGCAAGCAAGGTTGTATTATCTGCATATCGCAGGTTGTTAATGAGTCTTTCTCCAATCCTGATGCCACGTTTTCTTCCTAGAACCCAGCTTCTCGAATTATTTGTTCAGCATACAGGTTGAATAAGTATGGTGAAAGAATACAACCTTGTCGCACACCTTTCCTAATTTTAAAACACTCAGTGTGCCATTGTTCTAGTCAAACAACTGCCTCTTAGTCTATGCACAGATTCCTCATGAGCCCAATTTAATGTTCTGGAATACCCATTCTTCACAATCTTATCCATAGTTGGTCATGATCCATACAGCCAAAAGCCTTTGCAAATCAATAAACCACAGGTAAACTTCTTTCTAGTATTCTCTGCTTTCAGTCAAGATCCATCTGATGTCAGCAGTGATCTCCTTCATTCCACGTCCTCTTCAGAATCTGGCTTGAACCTCTGGCAGTTGATGGCAGTACTATTGCAGCCATTTTTAATTCAGCAAAATTTTACTTTCATGTGGTACTAATGATATTGTATGATGATTTCCACATTCCGTTGTGTTGCCTGTCTTTGGAATGGGTACAGATACGGATATCTTCCAATCAGTTGGCCAGGTAACTGTCTTCCAAATTTCTAGGCATACATGAATGAGTGCCTCCAGTGCTGCATCAGTTTGTTGAAAGATTTCAGTTTGTGTTCCATCAATGCCGATGCCTTGTTCTTTGCTCATGCTTTCAGTGAACTGCCTCTTGAAATAGTTGAACATCAACCGTTTCTTTTTGGCACAATGACGCTGTATATTTCTTCTGTCTTCTTTTGAAGCTTCCTGCATCCTTCAATAATTTTACCTTAGAATCCTTCAATATTTCAAGTCGAGGCTTGAATATTTTCTTCAGATCTTTCAACTTGAAAAATGCTGAATGTGTTCGTCCCTTTTGTTTTTCTAACATTTCATTACAGTATTTCCCTTTGGAGAGCAAGTTTCAGAGTCTCTTCTGAAATCCATTTTGGTCTTTTCCTTCTTTCTTGTCTTTTAAATGACCTTTTTTGCTTTCTTCCTGTATGATGTTCTTGATGTCATCCCACAACTCTTTTGGTTTTTGGTCATTATTGACTAATGAATCAAATATTTTCTTGAGATGATCTCTAAATTAAGAGGGGATATGTTCAAGGTCAAGGAGCTCTGGTAGCATAGTGGTTACAAGTCAGGCTGCCAGCTGCAAGGTCAACAGTTCGAAACTACCAGTTGTTCCGCGGGAGAAAGAAGAGACGTTCTGCTCCCGTAAAGACTTACAGCCTCGGAAACCCTGTATAGGGTCGCTATGAGTCGGAACCGACTCCACGGCACACAACAACATGTTCAAGGTCACATTGTGGCTCTCATGGATTTGTTTTAATTTTCTTCAGGTTCAGCCTGAACTTGCATATGAGCAACTGATGGTCTGTTCCACAGTCTGCCCAGGTTTTGTTTTGGCTGATGATATGGAGCTTTTCACCATCTGTTTCCACAGATGTAGCCAATTTGATTTCTGTGTATTTCATCTGGTGATGTCCATGTGTATAATCGTCTCCTATGCTGTCTAAAGAAGGTATTTGAAATGAACAAATCACTGATTTTGCAGAATTCTATCATGCAATCTGTAGCATCATTTCTATCACCAAGGTCATATTTTTCAAC